ATTCATTGCCTACTGATTGATGCCTGTATTGTATAAACACACAGTTAGCTGATAGATATTTACATCTTGTAGTCAATGAGATATATATTTTATGTTTGCGCTGTCACACATTGTTTTGGGCGCTCTGCAAACAGGGGCAGCTATGGTTTGGTTTTCGCATGTGACACCCCCCCCCCCCCTTTGCTACAGCGTCTTGTTCCTTTAAGTGGAAGCGTTAGATTCAGCAGTTTTCGAAAGAATGTCTGTAAACTGCAAAAAAATTGAAGGCCTCTGATTCACGTCATTCACGAGGCAACTGAACATATTACATTTTACTTATGTAGCAGACACTTCTACGCAAAGCAGCGTAAATCTCGAGGAAAAGCGGGCTCAGACCAACCCTACAGCGATTGGGGTTAAGGGTCCTGCTATTGGGCTGGTGAAATCACTCTGCTGATCACGGGATTTGAACTGCCGACCATCTAATCAAAAGCGCAGCGTCCAAAACCGCTGTGTGATAAATGTATGCATTTGTCCAATATATGAATGTATTTTATACATTGAATTCACAATAATCAGGTCTGAACTCGGATAGTTTTTGTAAATTCTCTTTAAAATAATAATCCACCGTCAGTGTGTCAATAAATTATTATATATTTTTATATTAAAGTGTAATATAATTGTATGAAGAAGAAACATTGTTTTCAATCAGTTAATGTAAATTATCTACTCATGTGTGCACTGGAATGAAAGGAATGTTCAGTTCGTTGTGACACATACCTTGCTGGTTTTACACGCATAGTATTCTATGTATTACATTACGTATCGTATGTAGTTAGCAGTGGGAGGGTAAGAGCACAGACTGCGCTGTCAGGCCAGGTGAGAATCACAGAGGTGGCTAGTTTAGCTGTATCTCATAAAATTCACTTTCAACTTCATTCTTTTAAATGCTAAATTCAACATGAACTTGACTGTTTCAGTGGTCATGTGACTTGCTGTAAGTGTTAGTGACCTGCTTTTGATGCGATTTAGAACCTTTCCTACCAAAACTGTGAAGGATAAATGAATAGTTTTATTTGTAATGACAAACTAACTATCATTCATAGCAACTGTTATCTACCATCTATCCTTCCTTCCTTCCATCCATCCATCAATCCATTTTCTGTACCCACTTTTTTAATTTCAGATTTATGGCAGCTTGTAAAATTTCTAAATATTTGCTCATACTAGGAAAAAAAACACATCATCTCTGGCAACTGTATATTTGTATGGGTCTGAAAAGCAATTTGGCCAGTAAGCATTCGCAATAAGAGCCATTTCAGTCATCAGATTGAGATATTCTGCTGCACATTGAAATGATTTCTTTATATTCATGATCATCTGTTGCTGCTCTGCACAGGCACAGGTGCAGTAAAAGATTACGGCAAAAAAGATTCACTTTTGATCTGAGGTCAGGACCACAGAAACAAACTGCGAGCAGGGGCCTGCATCTCCAGCTTTAGTCACGTTTTCACGTTTTTGTTTCTGTAGGTCAGATGAAGTGAAATAAATTTGCATTATGGACTTCATTTAGCTTGAGGGATTTCAAGAAAACAAGAATGAGTGAATTAAATTTATAGTATCCACTATATTCTGGCGGGATTTTACGAATTTTGCATTTTCATTTACTTAGCAGACACTATTATTTAAAGTGACATACGATTGAGAAAGCAGGGCCAGACAGTGCCTGGAGTAATAGGGGGTTAGGGGCCTCACTCAGGGGCCCCACTCAGGGGCCCCACTCAGGGGCCCAACGGTGACATCACTCTGCCAAGCCTGGGAACTGAACCGCCGACATTCCAATCACAAGCATAGAATCCTTACCCACAGAGAAAATAAGGCAGAGTGAGCTAAATTTATGCATAGATGTTAATAAAACTACAAATAACCATGTTATAAATGATAAAGCGGACGGGCAGGTATCCATTTAGTCGATATGTTTATTATGTAACCGTTGCTGCGTTACTTTTTCCGATACTGTTTCACCACAGACGTGGATCAGGGTGGAGAGGGCCCATGTTTTCCGATGATACAGATGTGTCCCTCCACGCTTGGCCTCCCCACCGTGAACGCGTTACGAAGCCCGCGTTCAGTCGAGTGAGACCGCGCGGCTGCAGCTGCCGTCCACATAAGAACAAAAAAAAATGTTAGCCAAGTCAAACTGCCATCTAGCACCAGAGAAAATCATTATTTTCAATAAACTTCAATTTTTATCGTCATGTTGTGTGAATTTCATCGAACTTGCTGCATATGTAGTGCTGTGCACACGCCTTCGGCCATCAAAGAAAATATTTAAAGCTATTAAGTGCTCAGAAATAACACAATTTCACATTAGAATATATGCAAATGAACAGTATCACAATAAAAAGTTACAAGAACTTCTATTTTCAAAAAGTTGCAGTCTTGATGGACGGCTAGAAGATCACCACTGTGATTCCCAAACCTCTGCTCAGGGTCACCTCAGCCATTCCATGCTTTCATTAAATTTCACCACCAGCTCATTATGCAACTTAATTAGCTAAGTAACTTGATGAGCCAACATCAACATCAAGTAACACCATGATTAGCCACACTTGGCATTCTAAACAGTCAACATTGTGTATTGAATGGTAACTGCAAATACTGGGGCGACCTCCAGAGAGGTTTTTGAAACTAAGAAACGTTGACATGCAAAATTATAGTTTTACACCAAAATGAAGATCATTTAAACATACCGTATTGGCCCTAATATAAGACGACCAGCCACTTTTTGGCAACTGTTTCTAGAAAAAAGTTTTTGGAATACTAAATCTTACCTTTGTAAAGAAAAATCATTTAATTGGCAAGAACATAAACTATCGTGCTGCTTAACCCGCAACCACAGCTTAAAAAGCAACCAAAGGCAAACAGATTATAATAAGTGTATTAAACAGCAAACATTCCAAAATAAATAAATAAAATGTATTATAGAGGCAGTAGATAATGAATATTACAAACTCCACAACCCTTGAGGGCGCAAAATATTTTCGATGCAGCAGACACATATGATGTGTGTTAAAAAAAAAAAAACTATTGCGGAGAAAGGTTGAGCCATATTAATAAATATGACAGCTCTTTTTAAATGAACGTTACTATCTTAATTAGCAGCCAGTTTAATACTAGCAGCGGCACAGCCAAAGAAGCCAGCAATTCACATGACACTCATGGATACACGCTAAACACCCGCATCGCAGGAGCTGCCAGCTCTCCCGCTCACGCGTGGGCGTCCTTAGGTCCGATCCGTCGGGGCTGTAGCCCTGAGTATTAGAATCCGAGTATTTTAATCCCGATGCCAATCTTCATTTAAAAAAAAAAAAAAGTCAGGCCACAGGTTAACTTGACTTAAACCCATATCTCTTCAATAACTAGGAACTCCACCTGCGCTCACGCAAGAAATATTACAGCAAATCTTTCCCTTTTTGTCTAGTACTGTACCCCGAATATAAGACGACACCACTTTTTCAGACGTATTTTCAGTAAAAAAAAAAAAAAAAAACCTGGTCTTATATTCGGATAAACACGGTCATTTTCTTTAGCCTAAAACCTATAACAGTACTGTGTATATTTAAGTAAAGAAGCTCATTGTCCATGATGACAGTATTTGCAGTAAATTCATGTTATCACACAACGGAGAAATACTATGGTTTGCTCTCAATCACCGTGCTGCTTTCACTTAATTAATTCAAAAGTTTTGTTCAGTTTGTGTGTTTATTCCTAGCTTTTATGTTAAACTCTTAAAGCATATCAAATACAGGTACGTGCGGTCAGGGGAGGCGGCTGAGGCAGAGATTCACCTGTCATCATGAAAAGTAAAAAAAAACTAATAATGATAACAATAAATAAATTTGTCCACTGGTCTGTGGTATAAATTTGTTTTCTGTATGATTCCAATCATTTTGATAGCTGAATTTGCGCGTTTCTTGTTCAAATACAGGGAAGAAACGCGAGGTGCCGCAGCGACGAGCCTCACTTCAGACGCGCTATCCGTCACACGCAGGGCTGCTGTTGCTGTCTCTCTGTATGTCGCCAATATAATGTTTGCAGATACGTTTATTATACATCCTGATTTTCCACAGTCTGGCTGATATGTTTAATCAACGTGTGTGACATATTTAGTCTTGCTGATCGGTTATAGAACCGCAGTGAAAAGGCACAAAGTGAGGGAGACAGTACCGTGCCGCACCAAAGGGGGCGAATGTGAGCCCAACAGGTGCTTGATGCTGCTGTTCTTCAAGGCAGAGACTCTAAGCGCCAATCAGAAAGTCACGTGCACTGCAGCGTTCCGTTTGTTTTTATTTTTTTTGTTCTGACTGACTGCCAAAACAGAAGATTATATAATTAAGCTTAAAAATTCTCAAAACTGGACTTTCAGTCAAGACAGAAAGTGATAAATAACAGAATTATTCTTTTGTTTTTTTCTGGTTATCCAGTCTATTAACATTGATTAAAGAATTAAGAGAATTTAAAGCTTTAAAAAAAAAACCACATTTTTCAATTAAGTTCAGAATTGAAATCCGTTTTCTGTACGCCACTCTACACTTTCATTTGTATTGAATAAGTATGAGTTGTGGAATTGCAACAGCAAATTTAGAACACATGAAGGGTGCTGAGCAAATGCGTTCTCTGCTCTCACTCGCCGTTATAAATGTAATGTTCTTTCTTATACACTTACCTATGTGTGTGCAAATAATGCTGATGAGATATGAAACATAACCAGTAGTCAATGTGCATGATGCCAATTGAATAGTGAATAAGCTACTCTTTTGGGTTCATATACTTGTAGATCTGACTGTGAAGGAGTCAGTGCCTCACCAACCATCAACCTCACTGCACGTTACTGATCAAATATTACCCCTAAGTCTGTTGTAGGTTTGTAGCTTTTGTCTTCCAGCCAGTAACATTATAGACCAATGTCGTTTAAGACGTAACTTATTGACCTGAGTGTCCTCATCTCTTTCTTTCAGGTATTCAGGGAGAGATTTGGCATTTGTTTCATCCAGGTTAAAGGGCAGGGCCATGGTCGACAGGGTGACCACGCTACCGTATTTCTACGGTAACATCACGCGGGAGGAGGCGGAGCAGTACCTGATGCAGGGCGGCACGACAGATGGGCTGTACCTACTGCGCCAGAGCAGGAGCTACCTGGGTGGCTATGCCCTCTCCGTGTCCTACGGCCGGCAGTTTTACCACTACACCATCGAGCGGGAGCTCAGCGACATGTTCGCCATCTCCGGGGGTCGGTCGCACCGCACTCCCATCGACCTCATCGACTATCACTCGCAGGAGACGGACGGCCTGGTGTGTCTGCTGAAGAAGCCCCAAAGCCGGCCAAGGGGCATGGAGCCCAAGGTGGGGCTCTTCGAGGACCTGAAGGAGCAGCTGATCCGGGAGTACGTCAAGCAGATGTGGAACCTGCAGGTCTGTCCCCCGGTGCCCCCACACTCTGCTCACCGCCGGGCATTTCTGCTTTGCTGACTGAGGAATAGTTTTGCTGTTGTTTTTTTGGCTTATTAAACAATCTTTCCTAGATCCTCACATGTAGGTGGAAAACCTGTCTCTCACATACGGTCATTCTCTTCCCATGGCAACATAATGGCACACAAACACACACACACGTATGTATATGAATGTGTCTATACACACACACACACACACATGTATATGTATACATATCTGTATATATACATGTGTTGTAGGGGGCTGTCCAGGGTATCATCAGAGGGGCAGCTGACTTAGCCAACCAATTTCAAGTGAAATTGACTGGATCTCACACCCTGAGCTGTGCCGCCACAGGACAGCTACGCGATGTAGGGGCCCCTAGAAGTAGTTGCTCCCTCCGCTGTGCCGGAACAGAACAGCTATGCAATGTGAGGCACCAGCTTCTCAGGGGGTGTGGACTTCAGGGCTTGACTGCAGTTGCCATAGTGCACCCCAGTGTGTCCAACCTCAGTCACGAACATACATCACACCAGGCATGACCGCGGTGAATGGAATCCAGCCAGGCGTTTCGCTGTGGCATCGTGGGTGGAGGGGAACACCGTCAACAGCGCTGTTAAGTCAGCATGGTGTGACCAAAAACAAAACGCTGTAAGTGAATTGGGGACAAAAACAAGATTAACATTTCAAAATGAGCAAATTTGTTAATAGGGTTTGTCAACATTTTTTGGAATCAAGATTAACTGCATGCACAAGCATGTTGCAATACCATGCAAAAAAAGATTTTATAGTCTGTATATTCAGTATAGAAATTAACCTCTATTAACAATCTTTACTCATGCTATTCTCCGATTGGGTATCAATATTAATGCAGTTAACATGATCAAAGCTGTGGGGTTAAGAGTCTTGCTGTGTATCACTGTTTTTGTGTGTCCATCCATATTTTAACTGCTTATCTAATGCCCATGCTAAAATACACAAAAAATACTAAAATACTTAGCCTGAAAAGGCTGTTTAAACCTTACAGTAAGAAATACCCTAATATTTTTCACATATTAATAATAAAATTCATCCTAAGTATCTTCCATAACCAGTGCAGGAAACAAAGAGAAGTTCTTATATTTTGCTTAGTAATTTATTTATTGGATTTATTGAGCAAGGACAGCACAAAAGACAATGTTACACGTGAAAACAATGCAACCGTTGTTTTGTAAGGAGGTTTTCTAGCCAAAGGCTAATTTGCCTTTGGCTAGAAACAAAGCATTTTATTTATTTAGCAGGACCATGGTTTACAGTGGCTACTTTATAAAACACACTTGCTGAAGGACTCAACAGTGATGTCACTCTGCCGATCACAGGTTTTACCTGCCAACCTTCCAATCTATGGCACAAGTGCCTCACCCACAGAGCCACATATCACGTGCATAGTAATAATTTATTAGTTATCTTTAGGTTTTGCTTCAGGACACAATTTTTGAAGCTGTTCTGGAAGTTCTATCCGCTACATTTTTATGACTGATGAAGTGTGCCCTGCAGTGGACCGCAGTCACAGACCAAAGCAGGCTGAAGGTCATCAGTGAAAGAGAAGTGGGCCAGATGTCTCCAAAGCACAAGCTTCATTGAACATAGTGTAACACTGGTGGGCAGAGCAGGACACAGCGTCACGTCAGTGACACTCTGTTTTATTTTGCCTCCGATGGCAAGCCAGCATCGTCTGCCGTGGTGCTGTGAATGTGTCAGCCTTTGCTTCCATTGCTGCTCCACACCTTAACCCCAGAAGACTGAGGACAGATCAGAAAGGTGTCATGTTGCCTCTCAGCCAAACCAGGGATTCCAACTCAAAGCTCCACTCAGAGATTAGCCGACAGGTTGCCATATTGGCAGGTCTCACAGGGATTTTTTTCAGGTGTACTGGTATCTCTGACTTTCCTGTAATGGGTGCTTTATCAGTTGTTTGGCTCAGCAGGTTAGGACACTGTATTCCTAACTGGAAGGTCACCACTTCAAATCCCAGCATCAACAGAATGATTTCACTGTTGGGCTCCCAAATGCTCTGGGGGCTGTCTCACCCTGCTTTCTCAAAAACGGGGGTAACTTTGGATTAAAATTTTCTGACAAATAAATTATATGTATCAAAGTGTGTGCCCTTTGACAGATTGGCATTCCAACCTGTCCCATGCCTTCTGCTTCCTTGGAGACGTTCATACAAGCAATGCTGAATGGATGACATAAGGGTTTTGTGTTGTTTCCATTTCATTGCTTCTTGTTCTTTAAATTGCACACAGCTCTTTTTTTCATTATGCCACTTTTTTCGTTAATTCCTTTTTTTTTTTAGCAATTCTATTCCTGTACGAGAACAGAGGCAAACTTCTGTGAAAGTGTCATCACTGCAGATAGTGCTGGGAGGATGTGGGAGAATTTCCCAGGAAATAATTCAGTTCGGCTGAAAAGTTAATACTCTGAACCATTTGAAGGGCACACAAACATGCCTCAGCTGACTCGCCCTCTGTTACTTCCTCATGGCAGAAGATGATTTCATGCATTTTATACGTATCACAGCAGCTTCCATTCAAGGAAATCTAACTTTTGAGAAGGTGTCACAGGCTGAAAGGTGACAGTGCGCATGCAGAACAATCTCGCCGGATCTTCATTGTCCTCCCCCTAATAGGGTAACGCCTTAGAGCAGGCCATCATCAGCCAGAGACCACAGCTGGAGAAGCTCATCGCCACCACGGCCCATGAGAAGATGCCTTGGTTCCACGGAAGCATCTCCAGGGAGGACTCCGAGATGCTCCTGCACAGGGGAAACCGCGTCAACGGCAGATACCTGTAAGGTCTACCTGTCTGATCAGGGGCTCAGAAATTCACCCCGCTCAGTCGGGCCACACTTGGGCCAAATCCGTTTAGGGAAAAAGTTCAACCTTCAAGACGTGCCTTTTGCTAAATGGATTGTAAGCCAATGTGCACAAAGCATTAAGCATATTTCAAGAATTCATTAATATTTTCCAATGAGTATTCAGAAAAAATATTCAATGGAAAATATTAAGCATGAGCAGCATTTATTATAGTAAAAATTCTATGTTGTAAAAATAAAAAAGACCATCAGTATTAAAAGTTAACAATAGTTAATAGTTACTACTTCTCAGTAATATTAAATGGCATAAATGGTTGATCATATTTTTCACAGAACAATGTTAAAAAATATATTACTTTCAGTTAAGTAACTTAAATAACTAAAATGAAATTCCAAACATTCAAATATGATTTATGATTCTTGCCATTATATTCTTATTATATTTTTGTCAGTATAGACTGTTTACATACAGTTATTATTTAAAAAATATATCATAAATATAAATATATCTATATTTTCCATAAATGACACGTGTTCAACCAACTTACTGAAATGCTATCATTTTGATGCCAATAAATATGAATCTGTATGTGAATTAAGTCACACTGTAACAATTTGAACTTAATCGGTCTGAGTTACTATGGCAGCTGCTTGCAATTCTGCTGCAGAAGTAGATGCAGCTGTGGTTTCCGTAGTGACAGAGTTAAGGCTGCTTCCTGTAGTGACCAGGGAAGAGGCCCCCTGCTTATATGACATAGAGGCGCACACACACACACACACACACACATACAAAGTATGATTCAGCTTGGAATGAAGCAGGCTGTGAACAGACAGAACTGGAGATTTGAGTAATAAGAAATATATCTATTTCTAGGCACAATCCTGAATTGTCTGATACTTTAAATGATTTAAATGATGTGTCCGCTATTTTCCATATTAGTAACATGTCAATTATAGAATTGACTTTAAATTAACATATTTACACAGACCACTTGAAATTCAAAGATCGATTTTTAACAAAAGCTTTTCCATTTTTAAAAATATATTGCCAAATTGAGTGTTTTTTTACGTGACCTATCCTGCACGTGGCTTCCATCTAGTGGTAATGTTTAGAAATTAGATGCAAAATAGTTACGCTTTCCATAACGGACATAACGTTAATTGCAAACGCGTAATTTTCTTCTTTTAATTCCCTTTTTATCTGAAACCTTTTAATGTCTTCTCTGTACCTCACAGAATTCGACAACGAGACAACAGAGGTTCCTATGCACTCTGTCTGTTGCACAATGGCCAGGTCATGCACTATCGCATTGACAAGGACAAGGCTGGCAAACTTTCAATTCCTGATGGGAAAAAATTTGATACACTCTGGCAGGTAATCTAAAAATTATTTTAAAATGCCGGCAGCTTTTTGAACTGTATTTTCTATTTATATACAGTAGCAGTCGAATGTTTCAGTCCATGTACTTGAATGCATAATTATCTGTTATTTAAGCTGCATCATGACTGTTAACAGGACTGAGTCAGTGTTATTGAATTCTGATGTACATGTTCTTGTAAGGGCATAACAAGAAAATCACCCCCCCCCCCCCCCCAAAACGTCATATTGAGCTCCTGCAGTTCATTCTGCCAACTGAGGGAGGGTGCAGGGGGGGGTCCCCTTGGTATATCGGTAGACTGAGTGCAGGAGCGCTGCATTTGTGGTTATCACATACCCCCCCCACCTCACTAATTTCAGAAGCACCCGTAGTAATTTTGTTCCAAACCTGGCAATGTGGACCTGGAATCTAATGATCAGGGGCCCCATGTATAACATCGTGCGTAGAATTCACACTAAAACATGGCGTACGGACAAAACTAGGAATGTGCGTAAGCAAGAAAAAATCCAGATGCATAAAACTGTGCGTAAGCACAGATCTACGCACATTCCCTTTATAAATCCCAATGAGCGTGAAATTTTACGTACGTGAACGAGCCCACAGTCACCCCCCGACCCGCCCATAATTATGTATATTTGCATATGTAAATCTGTATAAATGCCCGCTTTGTTCTATGTTTTTCTTAAACAACAATGGACAAACCACGAGGGAAAAAGAAGTATTTCTGCGAGTG